CAACACGTACGACCGTGCCCAGCGCCCGACGTGCACGACGCCCGTGACCTGCCCGCTGCCACCCGACGACCGAGACCAAGCCACCGTCCGTTCGTGATCCGTTTGACGAGTTGATTAGAATCAACTAAAGGCCAAACCTATCCGCCCATTAGGTTGTGGTGTTCAGACGAACTTCACCAACGGTACTCTACATCGTCTCAGAGTCGGCAAAAATTTTAAAAGGTAAACGTCCATATCCTAACTATAGATTCCGTTGCGTTAGGATTTATTTCGATAAAGTTCAATACTGTGCATGTTGTTTGATGTTCCTAACAGAACCCAACAGACTGATATAGTGCTTGGATGCCAGTGGTTGGAGACTCTTGGTCCGATCACAACCGATTATTTAAAAGGAACTATGGAGTTCGGGAGATCAAGCAAGAGGGTCAAGTTGAGGACTGAGGATCCAGGAGAGTCACCTGATGAAGATAACGGGGATGGTCGAGATGGGAAGCTGAATTTCCTAATCCTTGGGGAAAAGGAAAGTCTAGAAGAGGAGGGGAATGATACGGAAGTGGAGTTTGAGACCGGAGAGGCTAGTGGACTTGGAAGGCTGAAACACAAAAAGTGCTCATCGACCCTTGATGCGCACAAATGGACGAGTAACGAGTACGCGGGAATTGTACGGGACGCGAGCGGATGCACGCACGTACGGTACGGGCGCGCGAGGCCTAGTCCTCACGGGACTAGGCATGGCAAGGGGACGACGTGCACGCGCAGGCGGGACACGGCAGGCGCGACAAGGGCGAGATGGCGCGCGCGTGCAGGGGCAGCGTGCGGGAGTCCTATGCGCGGTAGGCATAGGCGGGGAAACAGCGCGCACGCGCGCGAAGAGCTGGGCGCGGGACTGGGCGTACGCGTAGGCGCGCGTGCGAGGATGGCGCGCAAGAGTCCCGGTCCGCGGAGGAGAGCGAGGCGCACGCACACGCGTGCGACGCGCGAGGTTAGGGCGGCCGAAAGTTTTGAACATGTGGGATTTTAGGGAGCTTCTAGAATTGCTTGGTGTGCAAGCCAAGCAATAGTTATTTGCTACCTTTAGGATTTTATTGCTTTCTAGAGTTAGGATTTATTTTATTGCATAGAATAGGAGATCTAGATCTATTAGGCTTAGATTTATTTTGCAACTATAAATACCCCATGTACCTCATCATATTTTAGAAGGTGGAATAAAGTATTGAATTGGTG